TTTTTGGATTTTTGCCTAGAGGCTCTTCATTTTCCTAGTCAGAATATTATAATAATCCAGCGAGTCTGAGAGACTCCATGTCACTGTTAAAGTAAAACTTTTTCATGTCACCAGTTATACATACATACCTATATACATTAAACATTTCCTTAGTAAAATTGTCATAAAACTTGTTATAACTCCTTTCATAATATATAATCCAATCTATACATGGCAAAGCAAAAAACTAAAGCATACCTACTCCATTCAAAAATAACTCTCCATGAGTCCTGGATAACACCAAGATACACTTAAATGTAACTCACAATATGTGTATATCTTGCAATTTATTCCAATAATTATTATTGTATATTTGTATTTTCCGATATTCTAAAAAGGGGATTTTATATTTATCTGTATTATTGTTTGATGCTGCTTTGGCAATGGAATCCACCCTTTCATTCAAAACAATCCCTGAATGACCTTTTCCACAATTTTTAATTTGTCATATCTGTTTCAGAAGTACCTACTTTTCTTTGACCGAAATCTTGTTTGAACGAAAGTATCTCATTTAAGAAAATACGATTTTTTACGAAAAATGTGAACGAAGCCTTACGCCTTTGACGTTTCAAAAACAACGTTGCCACACATTTTAGACCCACCGCGCTTTTAAATTTTAGACCCATCGAGTTTAGATCTCTCGTGTTTGGGTGTCACGAAGCGTACCCATAACAAACACAAAAACGGCAATGAAAACTTAAACGATATAAAATAACACAAACAACAAACAAAATAAACGAAATAATACACGAATTAAACGAAATATTCAAAAACACAACTGACAGCTTCGAAATTCTAAAACGTCAAATTCTTTTTTATGTGTCATTTAAATATGAAAAATTTTGAATGTAAACATCATGGAGCCTACACAAGGAGCCCGAACTTAATAGGGAAAATTGACAAAATCTGTCCACTAAATTGCACAATTTAAGTCTTTTTTTTTCACCACCAGCGGCGCTGCTTGTTGATGCGTCCGAATGACGTGAATATAGTATCGAAAATACATGACATGTCATGTGTCTATGTTGTGAAGTAAGCAAGTAAGTTTTGACAATTGATTTGCAATAATGTTTTGATGTACGAATCGTTTTGTTTTTTATGGCTGTACGTTAGCAATAGGCCGAGAAGCGATACATAAGATGGAATCTACCTCACCTTTTAAATAAATGTTGTACCCACAGACCTAGGTCTGTGGTTGTACCCCAACTCAAGCGAGATATATCTAAAATGTGCTTAAACTGTTGAGTGATCGCTATTGAGTGATCGCTAAAACTGTACAAAAAATGTGCTATAAAAAAGGTGTAATATAAGTCGTTTTTTCGCGTAAATACCATGAAATACTATGGTCATTAAACTTAACCTTGGTTAATAGTTAAGGCATTTTTGCGTTTAGAGTGCGTTCAAAAATCCTAACTATGACGTCACAAATACCAGACCATAAAACTATATCGCTGAGCTAGTTATTCAACGTGGTTAATAGTCTTTCTCTTTTTAATATATATATTTAATATGTTTATGTAGGAATAATGTTGTGTGCTAAACATATCTTCTCCAAAACATACCGCCAACCTTCGTCTTTTTCTTTGGGGTTCCATTCTAAATTTTGAGTTTCACAATAATAATTTTCGTATAAACGTTAAACACTGTTGGATTTTAATTATGGTAAACAACAGTGAAGAACTGTTTATATATAAAAAGAGGTATAGAAAAGGTAGGTATAAGAACTAGGGTTCATAGAAAAAGAATATACAAGGTAAAAGAAGAGACAAAGAAATTTATTTACACCTGTAAAAGCATAGAAATTAAATATAAATAGGTAAAAACACATTTTAAAAATTATAGGTTATGAACAAGTAAACAAATGTCAAATGTTAGAAACCTAACCAAAGATTAAATATACTCTTTAAAAGAGTATATTTAATCTTTGACCTAACCATGGTTATATGAATTAACTGTGACGTCATGACTTATTTAACCGTAGTATTTCATAGTATTTACGCGAAAAAACGACTATAAGCGTCATAAATGAAAAATATTAAAGTGTGTATAAAATGTGACATACGTAAGATAGACTGAAGCTTTGCAAAATGTCTTTAAACAATGTACTAAAACTGTGCAAACAATGTGCTAAAATATAATGTAATATAAGCGTGACATATGACAAATAAAAAGTAAGAGTGAAAAACTTAATTATTTCAAAAAGTGTGAAATTACCACAAAGTAGCGTGTATGCACATTGTTATAAAGACTTGCACTCCAAATAAACACTTATTGCACACTTTTCATGCACGCTTTATTTTCGCCAGGGTAATAGAGTAATTGCATCAAAAATGAAAATCCCTAAAAACCTTTTTAATGTAATCTAGAGGTAAAAACACATTGCAAAAATATTTTTTTATATTCCAAAAGTTCAACCCGGCCCCAAAATATCAAATTGAAAAAAAGGTACTTTTCAAACGTTCCGAACTCCCGCCATATTGCATGACGTCATAAGCTTCACCGGCTGTCAGAAATCAAGATGTCAACAAATAATAAACACCGATAAAGTTTATGTTTAACATGGAAAACGCGAAACCAAAAATTGGTTGTAAATATTGTTTTGTGCCTTGTTGTACAAATACAACCTGGAAAACTCCTGGGAAAGTTGTCCCTTCAATTATCAAAAGCAAAGTTTATGACCCTACACTGAGAGTAGTTACGGCTCAACCGTATTTTCTTGAATTTATTAATATTTAACATACCTATTCAAACCATATACCTAGTAAACGACATTTTATTTTACTTACATTAAAATGATCCTTAAAATGAGCAATAAAATGGTGACGATGTTTTGATATCGCGCCGAGCTATTTTAATCCACTTTATCCTTATTTTACCTTTTGGCACGGTGATAAACCTTTTCCCAGGAGTTTTCCAGGTTGTATTTGTACAAGGCACAAAACAATATTTACAACCAATTTTTGGTTTCGCGTTTTCCATGTTAAACATAAACTTTACCGGTGTTTATTATTTGTTGACATCTTGATTTCTGACAGCTGGTGAAGCTTATGACGTCATGCAATATGGCGGGAGTTCGGAACGTTTGAAAATTACCTTTTTTTCAATTTGATATTTTGGGGCCGGGTTGAACTTTTGGAATATAAAAAAATATTTTCGCAATGTGTTTTTACCTCTAGATTACAATAAAAAGGTTTTTAAGGATTTTAATTTTTGATGCAATTACTCTATTATTCCATCCATTTCTGGACCTAAAAATGTTTGGATGTTAACAACCTCCAATGGTGTCAGCACTGTCAGTGCTGCAAGCCGAGAGGTCATGGGTTTGATATATTTTAAATATTTTATAGTATTTGCAAAACTTTTGTTAAACTTAAATAAAAAAGTATGTAGAAAATGAGTAAACAGCATATTTAATAATTTCTACCTTTATTTGTTTATATTGAACTTTTATTTAAGCCATCTAGCTATAAAACTAAAAATAAATACCATATGGATTTAATATTCTGTTCGTTTCACACAACATTCTATTATAGAAAAAAACACGTATTTATAAAAAAACTGTGCTCTACATCAGAAAGTCCAACATGAATTCCAATGTTAAATTTGATATTAATTTGATGTAAATTAAGACCTTTATACACAAAACCAGGTACATGGGTACATTGTTTTCAGAAAGTGATAAACTGACAGTTGCATAACCTCAATTATTTGCACAATAATAAGTGGTAGGTAGTGGCGCCATCTCTGGTTACACCCCTCTACTGTTTTGGACCGGTAGTACACCAGCGCCCTCTTATCTAAGGAAGATTCTTGTTTACATGAAGTTCGGGCTCCTTGTGTAGGCTCCATGGTAAACATGACAACATCACAATTGTTGCCAACTTAATTTGGTTAAAATGCATTCAAATATTCAATTACAGACTTCGATTTAGTCATTTAGTGTTGGTACCAATGCGTAAAATTTTTGTTTTATTGATGACGTGTACGTAGTTTACTTTTAAATTTACTATAAGTATCTAATTACTTGCGATTGTTAAGTTTAAGCCTAATTTATAGATTGCCTTTCTTCCTCCCGTAGAAGATGAACAATACAAAAACCTATGCTGTTTAAAGATTACCGTAGGTACGGGAATTTATAAATGGCACTACGATTTTCGTATTGTTCATCTTCTACGGGAGGAAGGAAGAAAGGAAGGAAAGGAATCTATAAATCAGGTTTATGTTTATGTATTCCGGTACTCCATCAATAATATTTTCCCCCAGTTTTATCCTCCATTTCCATTTTATACTCAAAATGTGCTCGGACAAAAGTCTAATTTTAGTTTGAGGTCTGTTCCAAAGGTGTTCTTTGGTCTGTTCTGACCACAGAACATAAGGTTCTGACAATCAACAAACAAACTTAAGTTCATAGCAACGACGTACGTCGGTATGGGATTGTTGATGTGTCCTGCGTCAGTGCAAAAAAAAACTTTCCGCACTAGTGCAAAAAAGACTTTCAGCACTAGTGTGAAAGAATGCAATTTTTAGAACGCATATGAGTGCGATAGTTACTTTCCACCAGCTCGTATAAAATATATTTTTTTAATTTGCGACCAAAATAATATTAAATACCTAGGTCGTTATATTGTTGTAACCACTTCTTTTGCAGCGTTTAAATTTTTCTTTAAATTCCCCGCAAAGCGGAGAATTCTCCGCCCATTGGCAACACTGTCAGTGACAACATTTATATGTATTTGTTTCCTTATATCATATTATGATCATCCTCATAGAAATAACACTTGTGTTATTTCTATGATCATCCTCTTCGGGGTTTTCTATAACATTTACAAACATTAATATATCTTATGCGGATAAGTTCACTATAGTTTTCTTTTTGTCTAAATGTGTGCATTAAAAAAGGACAACAATATTATGTAGGCAGCCCTTAAGGTATAATCAACTAGCCATAAAATATATTGTGGCTAGCTTCAGTTTATTACTGTGCGTTAAACAAGTTTGAAAATTTTAAAAACAAAAGTGATGTTTAGAGTTTACCTTTAGTTCTAATTTATTATAATGGCACCTACAAATACAGCAAGGAAGACATATGCGAATAGAAGTTTACTGAACAATTGCACCCAGTCAAAGAGGGTTTTAAATGATTTGTTTGCCAAAAATATTAAAAAGAGGTTATCTAAAAAAATTAAGGATTTACCTGCAAGGACCGAAACCGCCCTTCAAAATGATTCACTAAATATTACCACAAACGATACGTTTGATAAATTAAAATTTGGTGAACTGCTAAATCCTGTTAAAATTGTAAATTCTTATAGAAAATATGACTCCTCGGAGAGTGACATGTCGAAGTCAGCATTTATTAAAAGCATATCATTAACAGTTCCCACAACTGGAATAACTAGTAGATCAAGAAGAAAGTATATTAATAAAAACCAAAAAAATGAGAGTGTTTCTTATATACGGCCAAGACTAGAAGAAACTACTCGAGAAGAAGAAAGAATAGATGTTAGTTTAGAAATTGAAAACATGGAGACCTCTATGCAATTAATGCATTCTTATAAGACTGATAGTTCTTTAAGTAAAATATTTACTAATAATTATATGGAAAAACAAACATTATTTTCTAGTACTCCAGTATGTAATCGAACAATGAGGAGATCACATAATTATGCACCATTTCCAAACAAAAATACTATATTAGAAAAATCATATGAAGAAATTGAGCAATGGGAAAATAAAAAACCTGATGTAAGTTCATTTACTGTTCCTAGTAGACAAACAAATATTCTTCCCTTAAAACCAAGTAAATTGGAAACAGAGGATTTTGATCATGCTATTAAGGATTATTTAAATACACAAACACCAAATAAATTCTTAAAAATAAATGCACCTACCAAAAAAGCAAAACGTAACGTAATAAATAACAATAAAAAAGACAAGATAAGTATAAGTGAGAGCTCAAAGATTCACAAAACATACAAAAACAAAGAAAAACTAAAGCCTGTAACTGTCAACTTGGAACGATTAATTTTATCATCAAAAGACAGTTTTAATAAACTTTCTGTTAGCCTGGATTTGTGGAACAAATTTGAGAAACACAGTAAATCATATTTAACTGACCAAAGTAGTATAATTATTTTTGAAAACCAATCAAAATCCAGATATCCTTTAAGAAATAACACAAATAAGGAGAAAAGAAGTTTGTTTATTGTACAAAACAAATCTGAAAGCAGATGTTCTCCAAGAAATGTTATAAATAAAAAGGAAACCAAACAAATATATTTAAACAAAAATAAACGAGGAAGACCTAGAAAAAGTATCAACAACTCTAATGAAAAAGTAATTCCTAAGAATATGGTTGTAAATTTGGAACAACTGCCCTTAAGTAATAGAAAACTCATTGATCACTTAAAAAAAGATATCAAACAACCAATTGTAAACCTAACACTAAATGATTTTAACGAAATCATTTGTGACAAGAAAAATACCCTAAAGTGCAAACAACCTATAATAAACCTGACACTAAACAATTTTGACCATTTATTTGCAAATAATGACAAATGTATCCCAATTTATGATTTAACAAACTCCTCAGATAGTCAAGATTCCATCCATGAATTAAATGGTAAAAATGGAAACCAAAGTTTATTAATACAAAACGAATTTATTTATTTTAACCAAAGCTCATCCTCATTATCTTCAGATACAAATTGCCAATCATTGAAATGTATATACAGTAAAAGTATTTCTTTAAAAGAAGGAAATGATTTCCCTTTAGGCAAAACCAGGGCCAGAAGAAATAGAAAATATAATGATTCACTGAATGAATCAATATCAAACAGGACAAGAAGTCGTACTAAAAATTCACAATTAAGTCTGGATTATAGTTATAAGAATAAAAAATTACCTAAAAGCCAAAATTCTGCTTCCCTCAATAGCCCAAATGAAGAAAGCAACATTGAGTATGTTTCTCGCAGGACAAGAGGTCAAATTCAAAATTCTACTTCACAATCAAGTCTAGATAAAAGTACTAAAAAAACAGATAATATTGGGGAAAAATTAAATAGAAATCAAAATTCTACTTCACTCACTGAAGATAATGATGAAAGCAACATTTCCTTTGAATCCATTTTTGAGATAATAGGCATAGATGCCTCCCAACGGTCCTTTTATTTTCGGTCACAATCAAGCAATGCTGATAATACCAAAGAAACAAAATCTGCTGAAAATAATAGTCAAAACAAAGAAAAAACGCCCAGAAAAACCAGAAACCAACTTTCTATATCTTTGGCTTCAGAAACTAATAATGCTGATTTCAGTCCTAATGAAAGAAGCAATGTTTTATTTGAATCTTTGATTTCTTCTCGAAAAAACAGTAGACAATCAATAGACGAAAATCAGAGAAAAGCTATTTTTGATATTATTGGATGTGACATGTCCCAAACATCTGTAATAAACATTTCTACTGGATCGTTGACCGATTCTCAAAGAAATCAAAATAATTCTAGTGACCTAAATACCTTCTTTGACAATGTTGTTGATTCATCGAGTGATTCCCCAGTAACAACCAGAAATCAAGATAAATTTAAGGATTTGAATATTAGTAGGACTAAAAACATTTTTAATACAAAAAAAAACATTTCTTTCGAGTCCCCAATTAAATCTGGGAAAACTGCTTTTGACCAAAGTAACACTGATGAAAGAGATTCTGTAACAAAAAGAAGGCAAAATAAATCTAAAGATTTGCATTTTAGTAATGGCAACAACATTTTAAATAGAAAAAAAAATACTTCTCCCAAGTCCCTAAATAATTCACCATTAAATCTTAAAAATAAGAAAAAAGAAATTTTCCTTACAGAAAATAAAAAAGACACATCTAAAGACTGGAAACCCATTAACTGTGATACAATTTCTGACATATCTAACAACTGTGATATTATTTCTGATTCTGAACCAATTTTAAGCATACTTGACAAAAATAAATCAAATAAAACTAAGAATCTTAGAAAGAAGAAAAAAGCGAAATCGAAAAATTCCGATGAAGCAATCCTTAAATCTATTCCAGTCAGTAAGGTAAATCAAATGCAAAATAAGCGAAATTTAAAAGAAAGTCGGGCCAAACCAAGTACAAAACAGAGCATGGGAGATATTGAAAATGTATCACCCAAGAGACCTAGTAGATTGTCAAAGATATCTAAAAATTCGGAAAATTCAGAAAAACGCGTTACTATGTTCGAAAGCCACTCAAAAGAAAATGAAAGTAGTGATTCAGAAAGTTTTGTGATTCCTCTTTCGACCCTAATTCAAAGAAAAGACCAAACAAAAATTTTTACATTGAATAAAAGTAATGACAGCAAATCAAATAGTTTTTTGACGCCTCTTCCTACCACAATGCATCGTAAAACTCTTAGGCCAGGAAAGGAATGGAGAAGATCTCTTGCAATACTAAAAAGAAGTAGCATGATTATTCCAGAAAATGCTGAAATTATTACTACAGGTGAGTTTTTAAGAAATATACGTGTCTGTGTCTGCTATGCGTAAACATTACATATCCACAAGTTGACGTGTGCCCGAAAAAAATAATTAATAATTATCAAGTGTTGCAAGGTTTTTTAAATTTAATGTATACAATTAAATTATTTTGACAAAAAATCATTGGTGTACCTCATGAGATTATAATATATAAATATATATATATATATATATATATATATATATATATATATATATATATATAGGGTGTTTCACATTCGTAGTCCATTAGAAATTTCTGGGGAACGAAAAACGAATCCATTTTTCTAAAATATTTTGAACATAATGCCACTTCCGGTTTAACTGGAAGTGACATAAACTTTGTTATTTCAAATAGAATATATATATAGTGTATACACTATATATTTTTAAATTCCACATAAAATTTCAAGTAAAATTACTATATCATATACCAAAAGTGAATAGTTTTGGTGTTGTTAATTGTTTTCGTTAAAATTTGAGAAATGCGCGTCAATCAATTTTGTTATTAGGTTTGCAAATATATGGGTGGAATTTTTGGAATCTTAAAAAAATGTTAAAAAGATTCCTTGTCAATCCTTTAACAGTTTTCAACAAAAACCCTGAGAAAACCCAGGGCAAATTAGGCTAACTTGAAATGTTAACTTTTTTATTTTAAATAAACACCCGGTATGTTTTTACATAATCAGATAGTAAATTAAAAAATCTTTCGATTAATGTTACTATTCCCTATACCTAAAATTAATAATTTCAGAGATATTTAACAGTTTCTACAATTTTAAATATTATTTTGTATCAAGAAACCTGTGACGAGTGAGTTGACGGTATCTATGGTTACCACGTAATCTGTCATTTTTCATAATTTAATGTCGTAAATTTTTCAATTTGTTGACTAATTAAGTGTTTTGTAAACAATATTACTGATAAAAAGTAGCAGTCAGTGACTTATAAAAAACATTGACAAGCCGAACATTTTAAAAATCTATATAAAATATATATTTTGCTAATTTTGAAAAAAACTCAACAAAGCTGTAGAATGCCAAAAAGGTCATTGGAAATAAAAAAATTATTTTATGAAATATTTTAATAACAAAAAGAATGCGTAACTGTAACAATTTTATAAACCAACAATATTATAATTACCAATTTTTATTACTAATTTATAACTAAATGTTTCTTAATTCTTACTTCTAAATTAGACGTTGTTCTTCTTGACTAAAATATTGTTGGTTTATTAAATTGTTACACTTATACGCTAAACAAGCATCGGGTTTTCGCAACGCGCGCACCATCTGTTGGAGTTAGATAGCATTGTGTGAATTTAAGAATTGTCAACAATACATTTAAGGCATACGAACTGCACATTATTTTTAAATAAATAAAAAGGCAGAAGTCTATTATTATTTGTGTTTTGCGTTGCAAGTAAAAACTACAAAACTTTGGTTTATTACTCCATTTCAGTTAATTATTCCTTATATCTTTGATTAAGAAACTCAACGCATATATGCTTATATAAACTGCACACCACTCAATGTGTCGCGACCAAAAAGTTCGTCCTTTTTCAAAACGACATAACTTTTTTGTTTTTTTTTTATTTTATTTTGGTCTGTAATGTCTACTAGTCCCATCCTCTGGATTCATGCTATAGATATGAAGCTCACGGTTCTTCAAGTAAATTTCGTACAGGGCGATATGTAAAACGGTGAAAAATTTCAATAACTTCATCCAAGCCTCCAAGCCCCGTTTGAAAAAGGAAATATTTTTTATCGCTTTTATTTTAAAATAATGAATTATGTCTTACCTAGAATAGGTTTTCAAATTTTTCTAATTGGAATCTTAGCAAGAAAAATATGATTTTTTTCCAAAAGAGTACATTTAAGGGTTTTTGGTATGCAATACGTATTTTATTGATACATTTAACAGCCGGGAATTGTTTTCGAATCTTGATTCTTAGTGATTTTGGTTTTATCTGAAACTTAAATTTGATAACAGAATTTGAATCAGAATCAGGAGGTCAAAATTATGAACAAAACATGTCACCAACGTAAATATCGGTTTAGGTTTAGTTTTCTCAAATTTTCACCAAAATGTTATTTTGAAAAAGTGGTCTTTCATTAGGCCCTCTGAAAATAACGGAATTTTGTTGCTTGTCGCTTGTTCAGAATTATTTAAGGAACATTATTTCACCATCTTATCTTCTTGTTCCTTGTTGGTGTAAACTGTTGGGCAATAAAGTTTATATTATTATTATTAAAAAGACTGAGTGTATTGCCTACAAAAAAGCCTTAAATGTACTCTTTTGAAAAAAAAATCATATTTTCGTTGCTAAGATTCCAATTCGAAAAATTTGAAAAACGCTACAAGGTAAGACATAATACTTCATTATTTTAAAGTAAAAACTAGAAAAAAATGGTTTTGTTACAAACGGGGCTTAAATAAAGTTATTAAAATTTTTCACCGTTTAACATATCACCCTGTGGGAAATTTACTTGAAGAACCGTGAGCTTCATATCTATAGCATGAATTTCCAAAGGATGAGGATAGCAGACAACACAGACCAAAATAAAATAGTTCATGAAACAAAAAAGTTATGTCGTTTTAAAAAAGAACGAACTTTTTGGTCGCGACACATTGAGTGGTGCGCAGTTTAGTTACGCTAGCGTAACTAAACTATATTTTGTTGTTTAAAATGCAGTTGTCGGCGTTTTTTAGAGGACTCAAATATAAAAATGTTCGATTTTAAGGTTATGTGTGTGCAATAATTATTTTTAACTAATTTCTTAAAAATGTCCAAACATAAACATACATTTATTAGGTAAAGTTATCATTAGTTAATTCTGCACCAACAAATATACTTACCGAATTGGATCCTTTGGAAAACATGAAAATGCAACGATTAAGTTCTTGAATTTTATTTACAATTAAAAACACAACAATTTACTATGATCACTTAGATAAAATACAGACACTAATTAGTTTTGCCAGAAATTAGTAAAAAATAATTGTTGCACACACATAACCTTTAAATAGAACATTTTTATATTTGAGTCCTCTAAAAAACGCCGACAACTGTATTTTAAAAAACAAAATATACCTACGAATTTATGGCAACATAATATTATACGAGCCCTAACAACTTAATGTTCGGACGATACCAATTTTCAGAAATATTTACTCATTTGTCATTCAAGAAATATTATAAAAATTTAAAATTAAAATATTTTATTTTTTACACGCTTAAAAGTCACATGCAAAAATAAGATTTTAAAAATTAACGAATTATCCTGGCAGCTTAAAGTTCGGACGATCACTTATTTGAATGTTTAGTACGTCGTTACATCTCCTTTGGCCTTTATAACAGCTGTTATTCTGGTTGGTATGGATTCCATTAAGGATCTACAATAATCTGGTGTAAAAAGATTCCCATATTTCTGACAATTTTGTCCTCAAATCATTTGTAGTTCTTTGAGGATTATTTCTTAAATAACTTTTCATGCGGTGCCAATACGTTTCAATAATATTGAGGTCTGGACTAATTAAAGGCCATGACAAAACTCTCATATTGTGTTATTCAAACCATTTTTTGGTTGTTTTTGCAGTGTTGCTTGATGCTCCATCTTGTTGAAAGATAAAATTACCATCGGGATAAAGATCTTCTACTCCGGGAATAAGGCTGTTTTGTAGAATTTGTTGATATTTATTAGCATTAACTATTCTATCTATTATTTCCATATGCCCCACACCCTTTCCAGACATACACCCCTAAATCATTACCCCCTTTGCAAATTTTACAGTCCTTTTTAAACAGCCTTTATGGAATGCTTCAGTTTTATCCCGAATAATTCGTTTTCTACAATCACCAACACACACGTCAAATTTGGATTCATCGCTAAATACGACTTTGACCCAATCTTCTGCTGTCCAGTGCAATTTAGAGATAGCCCAAATTAGACGGTTTTTCTTTTGTGCTTTTGTTAATAGCGGTTTTTCTTTTGCCTTTAATAAAATAATTAATAAAGTTTAAATATGTTTTTGTTTTATTCTTTATAAAAGCTAGAAATTTCTTTATACCTTATAAAAACTTAGTCCGGATTTATGAACCCACTGTCTAGAACACTAGCCTGGTTTCTGCATTAAAAACCGCCGTTACTTCCCTTAAAGTGGATCTTCGATTATTTTTGCAAATCCTTACGAGCTGCCTCCTCATTCTAGCAGACACTTTTTTGGCTGCCGGTACTTTTACCCCTAATTTCGTAACCACTGGTTCCTCGTAACATTTTATAATGTATAGTAGATTTCAATGCTATGCTCTTCCTTCATGGTACTGTTTTATTACAATTTTTCGAATTTCTTTAGAAGTAGCTATACCACGTGCCATTTTTAACACGCTAAATTAGGGACCATTATAAAACAACGCCACAAGATTAATTAATTTTACACTTCTTTGTTTTAAATCATAGCCACTTTGATGACAATAAATTCCGAACATTAAGTTGTTAGGGCTCGTATAAAATACATAGTATTCTACCGTTGAGTGGCGACTTTCTTAATTAAGGCTTTTAATAATGCTAATTTAGATAACTTATTTGATTGACGATTTTTACTGAACTGAAATGTTACACTTTTTACGTTAATCATGTGTGTTTATTGTAACTAATAGGTACAATTTATATTAACAGGGACTGTATACAAATTGTGCCACGGTTTTTTTTCCGATATTTTTTAACATTTTCCGGCTTTATTCTCAAAAACACTTATTTGTAACATTCGCGTTTGACTGCTGTTCATTAAAAGTTATAGTTTTGTTACGATGATAACGGCCAAGTGGTGGCGCTACTAGCGATGCTTGTTTAGCGTATAACAACCCGAAAAATTGACGCCATTAAATTGTCAACAATGATTACGAGGGAACCATAGATACCGTCAATTCACAAGTCACAGGTTTCTTGATACAAAATAATATTTAAAATTTTAGAAATTGTCAAA